GGACAGACTTATATCATTTAGAGATAGGTCCCTCAGAGCCGCTGAGCTTGCGCGAACAGAGATATTTAAAAGGTGATAACGAGTTTTTAAGTTTTCAATGGTGAATTTTCACTAAAAACTGTCTAAATCATAAAAAATTCATATCTTGCAAAAGCTTTGGTTTACAAGCCTAAAAGTGTCGCAGTGAGTAGACAACAACTATCTTCACCTGTGGTAAAAACTTCCGACTCCTGGCTGATCATGGTCGTGAGATATTAATTAATTATTATTAATGGCATTTTCATTAATTAACTCATATCTCCGTCAAAAAGGTGCATGGACCCAAACCAACTTGGGGTTTTTCGCTACTGACTATTCCCTACATGCTGAAAATAGTCTGAGTCGAAAAGCTTTTAATCACTTCGAGAGGTTCCCTCGTTAGTGGAGTGTCTTACAAGATCCTATCATGGAATTCTGCAAGAAGTTGCAGTTCTACAAGATCTTATTTACCTTTAATATGATCTTGTTGTAGAAATTTGTAAGATTCTACATAATTCTACACCTTTCTATAGAATCCTATAATAGAGTCTTGTGTGATACCATTAGTCATTCACCATCAAAGTATTGCGATACTGACAGTAGGTAAAGTACACTGCTTTATATTAAAAGTTTAAGAGGTGAAAAAACGCTATTTGCTCGGAATCTGGTAGATTATAGGTTATCAACCGTGCTGATTCCGAATATGACCATGGGGCTCACTTCAAAGACCCGGTTTTCTAGAAAACCAGTATCGTCAGTATAAAATAAGGTGATATTCGTGATCACCGAAAACCAAAGTACCGTCAGTAGTGATGTTGATTATTTAATTCCATACTGATGTCAAACATTATACTAAAATATTGTTTGTATATATTTCTCGTGCCCGAAACCTATATTTCATGTGATTTTAAGGTTTCAAGGCTAGTATATTCATGAAAAGTGAGAGTCAGACAAGATCCCCGACCTGTAGTATCAATGATTTAAGCCAAATACTAACATGAAATAGAGAAAAATAAAAAATAAACTAGAGTATGCAACATAAATGAAAATAAACACAAATAAAATAACCTGAAAGAAAATAACTAACATGAGTTTATTTTGACTAGGAACATGATTGAATTTTACTGTAAAAGATGCTGAGCTAATACCTTTTTGAAAGACGTTAAAGAAGAAAAACAAATAACTGACTCAAGAAATTTATTCTAGTCAATAATAGTTGAATAGAAAAAGAAGAAAAAACTGTTTGAGAAGAAAAATCGTTAGCAGAGATTGGAATGCGAACATATTTAGAATGGTTGCAGCATAAAGAACAGTAATGAGGGCGATGAGTAAAGAGCGTTAGAATTCTGTACCTTTTCATGCAATCCTATCCTAGGATCGAATCAGTTCTATGAGAGGGATTCTATAGTATCCTATGTGTGATCCTATGCTTTCCTATACAATCGTACAAAATAACTTCCTATAAGCTTCTATAAAATCCTATAATAGGATCTTCTTCGTAAGATGTTCTTTAAAATCTTAAAGGCTTTCGCGATAATCCTGTCAAATTCATTGTTTTTTGTTTCAATAAGTAGTTTTTAGTTGCCTGCATCTTTCTATGAGTACATAGATAAAATTGTAACCTTCAATTAATGTATTTTTAGTACAAGACAATCTTTACGAGATGGATGTGACTTATAGTGTTTCAGAAACGGTTCATAGAAAAGGTGGACAAATAGTAGAAGTTGATTATGATTATGAAGAAACAAGACAAGAAAATGTTGGACAAGGTACAAATGAAAAAAAAGTAGATCGTACTCGTACTTATTCAGCTAAAATAACACGTCAACAATATGAAACACTTCCTCAGAAACTCAAGAACGCATTTCCCTTTGATAGTTTTCTTCATATATTAAAACCACTGATGATGGGAACGTATCTAAGTGATGAAATTCAGAAAGCATTTGATTTGTTAGATAGAGACAAATCTGGTACAATTGATGTCAATGAGCTTAGTGCATTTTTACCGATCATAAATCCTAATGTAACCAAGGAAAGATTATTAAGATATATCAGAAAAGTTGATGAAAACTTTGATCATAAAATGAATTTCGAAGAATTCAGTAGTATGATTTTACGTGGAATTGGTCGTGATATTGTGTGTGGTCATGTTTAATCATTAATAAAGTGAAGAAATTAAAATTTAATGTACAATTACAATGGTTCTTCATTAGTAAATGTAAACCTTTAAATCTTTAAAATCGCATTACATGAGATATTATAGCTGCTATATTGAATTTGTTACATCATAATAGCGATTTGATCATGTAAGGTTTGCATAATAACTGATTACCGAATAAAATACGGGCCCAATGCGTGGTCAGTCACATATAGCGTCTGAATAAAAGACTTCAAGAACAGTTTTCACAAGCGATCTTTTAAGATCAGGCGATTAAACTTCCATCATAGGTATGATGTCTACATGAGCTTATGAGCTTATGTGACTGCGGAAATGAGAGTCTTTTCAAAACAGTGTACTAACAAGAGTCTCAGTGTGGAGAGTTGTCTTTCTGGCGGTCGCCACAATGATCGCTAGCTAGTGTAGTGATGAGTCACGTTTGATACATCAAGATTCAATCGCAGTACGCGGGAACAGGATTGAAACCAGCCATATCCTCGATGATTTTAAGCTCTTAAAAACTGAGTTTAACTGAACAACTCTATCAGCTTTCGGTTGTACCATTACTAAGAGTACACAAAATTGGGTGCGTTCACCAACTTTCTTTGCCATTAGGCGGTTTTTCCATCGCTTTTCGAAAATTATCCTCGAAAACTAGTTCAGAGAGAAATAGGGTTGAAGTTTTTTCCCCATACCTTAATAGTTGGAACACTTGGGTGTAACTTCATATTAAAGAACACCCTCTCTGCTACACAACAAGGTAACGTCAATATGACGTCACGTTGTCAATACGACACTATCGAAACTCTTTATAGACTAAATTGTTAATGAATTCTCCATTTCGAAAATTCATGATAGTTTATGTCAATCTACTGTATATTTAGCCAATGCCCACCATGGTTTTGAGAATGAATTGTCATAATGACATTCTAGCATAGAATTTCTGTTTACGCGAATCATATGCATTCTCAAACACACTTATTGCTAAGTAGTTGTGATAGTAATTATGCTTAAGCACAGCAGATGAAGATTTTTTGAATTCTTTATATGTGTTTGTTTTCTTATTATCGTCATTATTATCACTTTAATTTAATTTTACAACTATTTATCAGTTACTAGCGAGTCTTTAGTAGAGACTGAAACAGAACCCATTTCTGAAAGAATCAAAAGAAGATACCATGACCGATTTCGATCTTTCTCAAGGGTCTCGTCAGGTGGGGATTCCATTCCATACGAGAAAGACAGAGTTTAGGCACGACAAGCAACCCAACTTCTCACAATTGCCTCAACGCTTGTTGAGCGACTGTTACTATTATGGGCATCAAATTGAAAGGTAGGCAGGAGCGCAATTAACGGGAAGGTGTGGGAGGGTGTGCACCCTCCGAATGACTGAAAAAGCTCTTCTTAGTTTATCCATTATTCCTCGCACAAAAACTTTCACTGTGATTTTCAGCGATCTCCCGAAAAACCTCAAATTGATAAAGTACACACATTTCACTACGCGCCTAGGGTTCCAGACTTCCATGACTTACTCTCACTAAAATGGACCTAGAGTCTGTTTCTCTGTATTAAAAATACGTCAACGAAAGAACGTCTTTCTGATATGAGGCTTTTAGGTGTTCTTCTTCCTATATCCTTCCCATGTTTATCAAACCGGCAAAAAACCGCGATTAACCGTCCGGTTTAGTGTGCGCTTTACCATCCGGTTAATTGCGATTAACCGCCAAACCGACAAAACCCAGCGGTTAACCGCTGAATCGTCTGATTAGCAACCGCCAATT